GACGCTGAATGCCCATCGTGTTGGCTATATTTATTGTAACTGCGGCTTATTATGCTCAGTCTCTAATTGCAATAGAAAGTCCACATAAAAATTACATTTTCACTCTACAGTCCAGTGCTGACTATATCCTCAATACCATTTTTGGAATATTCTAAATTTACATTTTAGTGAACTGCAGCGCATTCAAGAGAACAACGTTAAAGTTTTTAGATTATCAGTGTTTCCGATTGTTGTTTGATACCTTCAGTTTTATGAATTTTGTTGCTTGCTTGGTAATCGTGTAATAAACTGATATTACGATATTATCTTTATCTAATCCCTGGTTGTTAATTTAATCGGTCATAAGTATTCGCAAAATTCATTTCTATTTTAACTGATGTAACTTTTTGTGTTCAACAAAATAATTCTTAGTCTATAAGTATGTATTAGATACTACAATAGAACAACGTTAAGTCGAACCTCGACAAGTCAAAAACCTCCAAAACTCGATAAAATGTTTTGTTGCCTTCCCTTCAAGCTCCAAAATCTCCATTACTAGAAATCTCAATCCCATTTTGGTACATATTTTTCCTTTGTACCTCGAAAAATTAAATTGGACATCTGTATCTCCAACATAGCAATATTTTATTTTACAACCTTTACAACTAACTCGATAATTTGAAACTTATTACGTCTATAGTTCGAAGAAAATTAAGTTATTGACTTAAAGGATTTGCCGACAATGTAAGTACACCAAGTCTTCACTTCTACAAGTCGAATCCAAATCCGCCTAAGTCACAATCCTCCATGAGTCGAAAACTCTATAACTCGATTGTTTTGGCGTCTCTCTTGACGTTCGAGTCATAAAGGTTCTACTGTATTTATAAATTCCATCTTGAGTATTTGCTTGCTATAAAATACGTACGTCATCCGGACTCAAGAAGTAATAAAGCATTTTCTTTCAAGTCGGGAAAATTAAAAACAAAAAAAATTGAAATGACCCTGACAGCCCTGACATTATATTGTTTCGTTTTATCGCGTATAGTGCATTTTAAATAGCAATATTTTGATAAAGATTAGATCCTTACAGGTAAATAACAATTACCGAAGGGCATGGTCCAGTAGTTTATTAGAGAAATACTTTTCATTCGGGAGGACACCGATTCGATTCCGGGTTCATCTGTCCTGGTTCAAGTTTTTTTGTTGTTTCCTGCGATCGCTTAGGAAAATGCTAGGACAATAATATTCTGCAGATAACCAAACGTGTACAATATTCTAGCGCGAGTAACCAAGGGTTAAATAAAAATGATTTTGAAACAAAGAATTGATTAAATAGACCCGCTCCAAGCGGCAAATTAAAAAAGTTATGTTGTATTTTGAATACAGTATTCCATTGCTTTTGATTATTCAGCTGTAAGCTGTAAGTTTCGTTTCTTAAAATCCTATTCGTATTTTTAAAATCTTATTCATAGTCAAAGGTGTAGTAAAGAAAAGCATATACTTGTGAGTTTTGGTGCTACAAAGTAAGAGAAATCTTGTCGTACAGCAACCCTCGCAGGTACCATAATAACGGTACTTGTGATGCGCTTTAAGCGTCCCTATCCGTTAAAGGCAATAATCTACCTTCCGCAACGGATTATGGCATTTTGAAATGTTCGCTCTTTACTTACGTCAGCGGGAGTTTCATTTTCTGACGTCTGATGATAAAAGTCTAAAAGCTAATATCTATAGTACCTAAAGAAAATGTTGTAATCCAATGTTTTAGTTTATTTAATTATAAGTTCATTTCTTAGAATTTTATTTGTATGTATTTTTTTTATTTTACTCATTGCCCTAGGGGTAAGAAAGAACGCACAATCTTTTAGCTTTTGGTGCAATAAAAAAGAGAAATCGTGTAGCACAACTACCCTTGTAGGTACTCTAACGGTACATGTGACGTAGTTTTAAGCTTCGCTATATAAGCCAAAGTGGAACGTTTTTAAAAAGGCAAACGGTAATGAATCTTAGCCAAGTCGTTTCGATTTCTAACTCATTTTATAAATAATCCTATTCATTGATTCTTTCTTTTAATATAGTATTTAATTTAAGTAGTTGATAATTTATTAGTGTAAAATTTGATGTTAATAAAATATATTCGGAAATTCGATTGTTTTAAATAAGTGATTGCAGGTAAGCCTTAGATCCCTAAGCATCGCTAACTGGGATACAACAAAAAAATAAATATTGTTGAACTTTTATAATACCCAAGCTTGTTTCTTATATGTACCAGTCAGTACACTTTAATAGTTAGAATTGTTAGAAAATAGGAAATCCTAACTAATATCACAAACGTAAATATGTTTGTTTGTTTGGTACCATTTCACGCGGTCATCATCAAATTTTGTACACACATTGTCAGGGGTACAGAGAAGGACATAGGGTATATTCTATCCTGAAACAATATACTGTTCTCGAGGGATAGAAAAAATACGATAGTTTTATATGGTCCACGATGACCTTTGACACATATTTAGGTAACTGTCTAGATGTGTCTAAATGTGGGTGGGATCGAAAGAGGAGGTCTACCCCACCACTGTACCATAAAAAGTTCGTGGCGGTCTCACCCCCATAAAAAGTTATGGAGGTTAGATGGGGATGGGAGTAGGGGGATCAAAAGAGGGCAGGGGGGATCTAAAGAGGGTGGTCACCTGAGTAAAACCCCATAAAAAGTTATGGGGGTTGAAAGTTGATTATTTTGACAATTTTCATCCATTATAATTCAAATAAAACTTAATAAAAAAATTATTTTCAAGCGGATGGAGTTGGGGGATCGAAAGAGGGTGGTCACTTGAACAAAATCCGATAACCTAACCTACCCTATTGATAAACATAGTTAAATAATGTTTTATATAACTTTTTCAATATTTTTATGTATTTTTCATTAGTTTTACCTTTTTATGGGGGGTGAGACCGCCGCGAACTTTTTATGGTACAGTGGTGGGGGAGACCTCCTTTTCCGATCCCACTCACCTCCGAAGGGGGCGGGGGCCATCATCTAGACTTTTACCCATATTTATATCAATAAAAACTAAAAATCTAGACAAAATTAGATTTACTAAAAATTTACTATTTTTATCAACCTTGGAGGCAGGAACATCTACATATGGTCTCACTTTAATGGGTATAGAAAATTATTAAAACATAAAAACACTTATTTGACTATTGTTATTTCTAATTTGTTCATACTACATCATTAGTGATTTCCACAGGTTTCTTAATTGGTGCAATTTGACACAAGTCTAAAAAGCCGAAACAATTGTAGAGTAGTAAGACTCTAAATAAATTGAAACATTAAAAAGAACAGTGGTTGTATACCTTTAATAATTTCAATATGAAATTTGTTTTTGTAAATGCTGTTTTATTTTCTTTCTTAAACTTTTAACACTGTTTTCGTGGGGTCCCATTGTTCGCATATTATTTAAAATCAGTTTAAGATGATGTGGAATATGTATTAGGAAAATAAAAGTGACACATGTTCGATTTTGGGCAACGCTATAAACAGTTTTTATGTTCTCCTTTAATCGAAGTCTTAACAAATACATACGTATTGTAATTGGCTTGTTATGGCAAAAAAACACGCGACACGTATTCTAATTAAACTGTTCAAAGTTTCATTAACGTTGGGCACGTAGTGTAGATACGTAACTATTTTATTTGTAATACGTTTCAGTAAGTAATGTCAGTAACTTAAATGTCAGACGTAAATTATGTTTAACAATTAACACAAAAATTCTTGAGAAAACTTGTTTGTATTTCTTATATTAGGTGTTGTATACAAAAAGATAGACAATTTTAATAAACCACTGGTAAGGTAGTTTCTTTTTATTTGAATAGATCATTATTTTAATATTAACAATACAATTGATGATTGTTCTGTACGCAAAAGTCTTTTAAAAAGGAAATATTTAGATAGAACATAATCCTATAACAATTTATTGTCTATTTATGAAATATATTTATAGTTGAGGCGTTCAAAATTGGTATACATCTAACTATATAAAATTTAACATTTTAGTAGCTAGTTTTTATTAAAATACCTAAAAATTGTTGCTACTTCATGTAATAAAATAAGTACATTAAATGATACCTATTCCAGAATGAACACGTATTATTAATTTACCTTTTTTATTATAACTTTGTCACAAACGTATGCATCTAATAAAGAGAAGTTGGAAGTAGGATTTCAACCACAAACAGGAAGTAAGGGTAATAAACGCCCCTATTTCTAAAGGCAGCCCCTATGCATAAGTACTTATTCTATCATATTAAAGCTGTTTTTATTATCTTTCAGACTGTAATATTTATTTTTCCACAGTTTGACATGTAAAAATTAATTTTACATTTCTGTTTTGTTAATACCTAATACTTATCTTCAGATTAATTCTAAGGATTTTTAATACTAATTAAAATTGGGATTAACGATTGAAATACAGGACACTAGTACTTATATAAAACGTATTTTTCACAATTTTTATTTTCATTACGACAATTGTTTCGTTACCACAGCAGCTTTTTTAACACTACTTGAACATCAAATAAAAACTGTGGTAATTATTAGTTTAATAATTTTTATAAAGTTAAGAATTTTCACCAAGTAAATGCCGATTCCATCATGTATACATATAAAACATTTTTGCTTATTCTCAAATGAGACATTTTGAGCATAAAAGTTATTATGTTATTATAGTAATAACAATTGGTAAATTATTTGTTTACGCGAAAAACTTCATGGATTTTTTGTTTTTACGAAAATAAAATCAACTTATTATAAATACATTTTTTTGGTTGCAAATTAAGTAAATTCATTGAAGATATTTTTTCGTTGTTTCCCTTAATGTAATTAATTAAATTAAAATGATTTCATGTTTATTATTTTTATCTACGAAATACTTGATGACGTTTTAGTGATTCACTTATCATTTGTTTTTTACACAATATTTACTAGTTATCGCTAATATTATTATCAAGATATATTCACTTACTTTTTAAAAGTTGTTTCGTACTGTTTTATCTCCTTTCTTGAGAACTCCTTAAATTCGGTATAGATGTTGATCACTCGGTATTTAAGTTTAACTTCATGTCCGTTATCAATAGCATCGTTTAGTTCTTGTCGGCGAATCAAAACAGAAGTTAGCTCTGAATCGGCAGGCATTTTTTTCTTTTCGGCGTAAAATTAAAATTGCGATTGAAATTGGCTTTTAAATACTGACGCGCACTCCTTTGAGAAACGGACAATAGAAGCACTAAACAACTGTGCGCACGTGTTCTAGTGTTAAAAGTTACTGACGACACTTCGCTACTGCCCTGTTACTAAATACCTCGCCGTGCTGGAGAGCAACTGATAGTGAACGTACTTGCCGGGGCAAAGGAAAATTGCACGCCGCATGCCACTAATCCAAACGATAGCACCGATAATAAACAATATCAAATATGTACTACATAAATAAAGATATTCTAATGGTGTTGTAGGAAAATCACTCATACTAAAGATAAATAAATATGAACAGTACTTAATAGTAATTTCCAATCGAATAATTTTCTTCAAATTTGTGTCATTTATTTTTAATTGTTAATAAATTACGGACTCGCCTCCTGAAGGTTCCGTACGCTCAGTTAAATTATCGTAACAATATCTAGTTAGAAGTAACTGGGAACAACATAAACCTTAATCTTGGGTTGCCTAGTCACAAAATTCCTTTCGTTGATTGAATTCTATATTTCTGCTTTTTAAAATGTTTACAGTTTATGTGAAACTTTATTCCTGGTTGCATTGCGAACCACATTGTTATACTTCATTTACTTTTTCTAGCGATGTGCCCCTTCCAATGTCTTGGATATAAATAAACATCTCGTTGATATTTTCAGTAGTAAATGGTACCAATAACAGCACATTTGTGCAATGCAATTGTAGTGGATAAAATGGTCATTTTTTCCGTGCAGTACTGTACGGATTATACGCTCCTCACCGGTTAAGAGTTTGGCCGAGAGTTGTCTCCTTCCTTTTTTGGCCTAGTGCTGTTCTTTTCCACTTTGCGCCGGTCAAACTGAAGGTCACATTGCTACAGAAAGTAAACGAAGTATAACAATCGCGTCAAAATTTTCGTATAGTTCAATATGAATGCGATACGACCTGCTTCTCGCGCATCTGGAGGTTCATATCATTCTAAACTAGCTATACTTTAGAAAATATACACTACTGGCGAAATGAGAACCGAACGAATATTTTTTTACATACATGCAATCATTAAAATCATTTAGGGGATGTTACGCTTTGCCCAAATGATTTTGAGAATTGGGTTAGTTTAGGACAGTTTAAAGAAGCAGGTGATATTTTTAGGTAGGCTTGGTTGAGAAAAAGAAAAAATGCTGACAAAGAAATGTGTTACTTCCGTGTTCGGTACCTTACCTGTATAATTGCCCTTTAAAAAGCTAACTTTATCTTTGTCACAATACTAATTACTTACACAACTGATGCACTTTAAAATATTATATTTTATCTGTAACAATACCATTTTTAAAATGGATTGTTTGAATTTTAAAATGATTGATTTTAACTTTTGTTCTGTTATGGTTTGAAATGGTTTCTTTAAGTCAGGCTATGATAATTTAAAGGGTGCTACTGTACTAGTAAATAACTTCGTTTCAAAGTAGAAGGGTAGTTTCTCAATGCCAATAAGGAGATGTAATTGTGGTTATTTTTCTTCCAAAATCCAGCCCCTCTTTTAATACATTACTTAGAAAAAATGAAACCAAAAAAATATATGTAACACAACCAGAGATGTGATTTATTTAAAATACTTGCATTTAAAATGTAAATACAAAATAAAAAATACCTATTTTTATCTTGCATTTTTACTTTTTTTAAAAAAGCATTCTGTATTTTATTTAAATTACTTTTCTAAAAGTATTTTCTATTTGTAAAATGCCAAACACATTTTTGCCGTTAAAAGTTTTGCTAATATCACCGATGAAACATATAAAATGAAAGTTGCTCACATTGACAATTGAAGGTATTAGAAGCTTAAAAATGGGACAAAAAGACATTCCATGAATGTCTTCTAATTGTTTAACTGAAAAGAATTCCAAAAATTGTAAATTCCTTAGAAATGGATAATCTAAAATATTGGATCGATATTGTTTTCCGCGTTCAATGAAATTTTGAAGTTCCAAATTGATATCAGCACCTGCCAAATTGCCACTTATCGTACTTTTAGCAAGAAACTACAAAAAATGAATTAAGACAATACAGCCCGTAAAACATAACCGAATTGATATACGTCAGCTGTGTAAAACTGAAAACTACAAGATTGTGGGGTGCTAATAAATGCTTATAATCCAAAATTCTTAGAAAACGATTCGAAAAACTTCACTTATTAGATGAACCCACAGCTAAAGAAACTGTGGATTCCATTTCTTTCTCTTATTACAATGTGTAAAAAATCGGAAACAAAATAGGGTTGTAAATTTTTTGATATAAAATGATTGATGTCGATTTTACATCAATAAAATTATTTGCAACCCTAGTTTGGCTCTGGTCTTTCACGATAAACAAATTATTTTGGCATCAGTGTCTCTTTTTCAATTAAAACGGGTGACAAAGGTAAATTAAGAAGCATTTCGAATAATTATTTGTTGCTGAACTGAAGAAAATATAACATAAAGATAGAAAAACTATATCTTAATCACTTCAAACATGAATCATATTCAATCTTCGCAGCTGGTGATATACTGCGAACACCACATTTAGTCTATCTAATTTTACATCTGAAATAACAAATCAAAAAAGTATTTGTATTTTGTATTTAAATACTTCTAAAAAATCATTTTGCTCATCTCTAAACACAACGTACCATTCTTGAAGGATCAGTAGGTCTATGTTTGGTTATTTCGCTCAAAAACTAATCCCCAACTCCTAACTACTTTTAAAAAAAGTGACATCGTAGGAAATATATTTTAACAAGCGCCAAAGTTTAACTCAACAGCATATCTTTGGAGGTATCAGTAGTCTAGTCCATTCAGTCTTTTATAAGTGACATTATATGTGTATTACTGTACTGTAAAACATGTACACATATGGGCAAATTTCGTCCCAGTTAAGTATACGGATCGACTAGTGCTGTCATGTACTAGGTGTGCAAATTAAGTAATGAGACTGTTAAAAATGGCGTGCGATGCAACACCCAGGTGTTCTTGATGTTTGACCACACACGCATGACCGGTTTGAGAAGTCTTTCAAGAACCTCTTCGTAAAAATGTTGATTGAGGATTGACTGTTTGGCTTTTGTGGATGGTTTCTTGGCTATCAGAGAAGCAAATCAGCGTGATTTTGTTTTGTGACTTGTTTATTCTTGCTTTTTTTGGGATTTGGAGAGCCTGGAGTCTGCCATCCATACTCTGGCGCGTAGTTTCCGGATCGTACTCTAATACCTACCTCTCGTCAGTCGTGATCACATGTTCCGAACAGTGGGGATCATTCCATCACTTCCAAAAAGTCAAGACAATTTTCTCTCCTGACGTATTTTTGTTCCCACGAAAGACTTTTTGGAACCATTTTTGAGAAGATTTTTCTCAGCAGGATTTATGACTGTTTCTGTAGTGCTGAGGCAAGTACGATATGCGCCCCGTGAGCACATATAGTTGACCATAGTATCTTAAGATTAGTCCAGTAGGTATTCTATGTAAAAAAAATATGTTGTGCAGTTGTGTTACTCCGTAGCTCTTATGGACAAACCGCCAATGTTATCTATTAACTTTGAACCATATTTGCATGTGATGACTAATGAATGAATGGATAACATCCCATTGTATATCAAAGTCAACTTTTCTACATCATTCCGCATATATGTACATATAATGGGAAATTATTGTTTTTTGGACTTTTTCTTTTATTTGTGTTAGGTGACCTTAATTTGTGTCAAATTTCAATATTGTTTAGTCAACGGGAAGTAACACATATATTTCGACACAAAGGTTCAATTTTTCTCCATTTCGATAGATGGAACACAAAAATGACTAATATTTTGTTAGTGTTGCACTTTGTGCTTTTACCGACTTCATTAATAACTTTTAGATAAAATTTTCTTGATAGTGGATTGTTATAATTAATAATACAAACTAATTTATACATATTTTTACTTTATTTATTTTGCAGTCACCTTAGTAGTAAAAATGGACAATATTTCTCAACTTTTTGAATCCTAACTAATATTGCAAATGAGAATGTGTTTGTTTGGTTATTTATCATCTTTTCAGCCCTTAATTACTTAGTTGATCATCATGAAATTTTGTACACAAATTTTCAAGGATGCAGAAAAGCACATAAGGTACCTTTTATTAAAAAAAGATACTGTTCCCAGGGGATAAAAGAATCAGTTTTATGTGGTTACTCCTTAACTAATAAATCGATCATTGAATTCATTGTTATTTGGCCGTTTTGGATACAGCGGTTTATTACCCTAGTCCTTGAAACTTTTAAACTTTTGGGTGTTTCATTTCCACCAGCCAGTAATGCTGGTGGGCGGGCAGTCCCTCCGGACTATGCCGGAAGGTAGGGCGGAAGGCCCTCTTCAGCCTGCTTTCAGGAATCGTGGGAATGGGTGGGTGGTGGTTCGGGTGAGAAAGATAAGACGGACGAAATGAAGACAGAAGAGAATGAAAGATTATCTGTGGAATATTACTGCCTTAGCATTTGGCTAGGTGATCCAAGGAAACCACAGAACCTAGTCCTTGGTCGGCTTGGATTATAAATACCAAAACTAGCCGTTTCAGATTAAAATCCAAATATTAACTAATCAATCGATCATTGAATTCATTGTTATTTGGCCGTTTTGGATACAGCGGTTTATTACCCTTGTCCTTGATCGGCTTGGGTTATAAATACCATAACTAGCCATTTCAGATTAAAATTCAAATATTAAGAATTAACCTTGAAACGTATATTTCTGTGAAACCCAAGCAGGTACTGTTACCACCCCCTTGGAGGGAAAATAATAATAGAAACGAGACAACTTTAAATATAGAATATTGCATTGCACTTGGGGAACCGAGCGGCATGGCCTAGAGGTTTAGACCATTGCTTAGCATTCGGGAGGACGCCGGTCAGATTCCGGGTCCGTCTGCCTTGGTCCAAGTTTTTCTGTGGTTTCCTTGGATCACTTAGGTAAATGCTGAGGCAGTAATATTCCACAGATAATCTTTCATTTTCTTCTGTCTTCATTTCGTCCGTCTCATCTTTCTCACCCGAACCACCACCCACCCATTCCCACGATTCCTGAAAGCAGGCTGAAGAGTGCCTTCCGCCCTACCTTCCGACGTAGTCCAGAGGG